TCAAAAAAAAAAAAAAAAAAAAAGCTCTGTAATAGTCATGAGTTTGTATCCTAGTCAGGGAGAGGGATAATAAAGAACTAACTAGTGTCAGCTAGTGGTACACATTAATGACTAAAACCTAGCAAGATTAGGGAATAGTGTATGGTATCTTATGTAGTGTTGGGAGGGGTTTTCTTCAGAGTACATACCTGAATGTAATACTGTATGGAGTCTTGTTCCAGGAAATACAGGTTAAGCATCCCTAATCTGAAAATCTGAAACCCACTGTGCTCTAAAATTTGAAGTCTCTGAGCACAGACCTGATGCCAAAGGTGGAAAACTCCACACCTAACTGTGCATGACATGTCATAGTCAAAATGGAGGTGCACTAGAAATACTGCGTATAAGGTGTATATGAAGCATAAATGAACTGTCATTCCCTGTATGTGTGTGTGTGTAAATATTAAAAAGTCTAGAAAAATCTAAAATATTTCTTGTCATAAATATTTTGGATAAGGGATACTGAGTCTGTATAAGACCAGAGTGGCCGGATGGAGTGAAAGCTGGAATGGTTACAGGCAGGCTAGTGACAGTTGTAAGAGATAAGTGACTGCAGGCAAGACACATAGCCTTGTGGCCATACCAGAATTCCTGCACAGTGCCAGACCTGGTGGCACATGCCTATAATTCCAGCACTTGGGAGGCTGAGGCAGGCAGATCGCTGCAATTTGAGACATGGGCTACATAGTGAGTGCAAGGCCAACCTGAACTACACAGTGAGACTTTGTCTAAAAAAAAAAAAAATCCCTTCAGGAGAGATCAGAAACCCCTGGAGGCTTCTTATCCTTTGCACTCATCTACAGGAATCTTAACCCCTAACCTCCTTAGATTTCCAGCCTCTGTTACAACACCAGACAACATAGCATTGATATGTTTTGAAATTTGATTTTTAGCCTCAAACTTAGGCACCTTAACAAATCTGTATTTTTATGTTATTTCCAAGAGGATTTGAAACCAGTTATAACATTAAAACACTGGAAGAAGATGGCTAAAGTTAAAGATGATAAATCATTTGGGAGAAGGGCATTTTAGCTATTTTGAGCACTGTATCAACTTTTAAAAACCCTGGCAAAAAAGGGGAAGGTGACTGGGTATGGAGTTCTCTTCATCTGATTAAAAGAAGGATATTCATCTATAGAAAAGCACAGGAAACTGAACATTTACATTTATGTTCTGCAATTACCAACCTTGTAAGCATGACAAGACATTTAGAAGCTGAAAGGAATGGGGTGGGAGAGGAGGAGAAAGGGTAAAAACATTAATATCCATATCTTATAAAATTAGGATTCAGTAGCGATCAGAGGAAATGAAGAAGCAGGCTTGAGCATATAATTTTAAAAAATGTAATCAACAGAGGCATAAGCATCTTTAACACCTTGAAAAGAGAGAGGCAAGGATGAGAGTGAAGATGGTATAAAATACCAACTGTTCAAAAAACAATGCTGTGAATATATTTCAATGTAAGTTGTTAAAAAAGTAGTTGCCCATCTGATTCTTTAATACTGCCTGTATTATTTTAAATGATTAAAATTAAAACAAAGATTACGTGTAAATTAGTTTAGGACTTCTTTTGGACCTACATGTACACATTTTTTATGTGTAATTATATTTTTTGCATTATCAGGTTTTTCAAATTGCTGTGCACAGAATGGTTAACCATTGGTTTAGAGAGATTTATCAGAACAGTACATTCCAGGAGTAATTTGTTCCACAGAAGAGAAGCCGGAATGCGCACATGAGCTAAGAGATATGAAATCACACACACAATTTTAATGTGGATTTTAGCATGTTGCTTACTTGTAAAGTGGTTGGTGGTTATTTAGAACATTGTATGTGAGACTTCATTCTTAAACATTTTGAATTAGAACCTTCTCCCAGTAATTACCATAGCCTTACTAATTTCTCTCCTAAAATTTTTCATCTTTTTTTTCTGTACCCATATCACTTGAGTGCAGGTCACTACCTTTTTTTAACTGGATCATCATATCAGCCTGTAATAGTCTTCCTGCCATTACCCTTGTCTTACTTCAGTCTTCCACACAGCAGGCAAGAGTGGTCCCATCACTACTCTGCTTAAACCGTTTACTCATGTCTGTTGTCCTTGGGATCAAAGTCTAGCCACGTTTGTGTGACCCTCCAGTCTGGCCCTAACCACCTTTCTGGCCACATTATCCACAGTTTCATGGCGCTATATTGAAATGTCGGTGCCTCAGCTTGTTCTTTTGTGCCCTGGGCCATCTATTTTACCCAAAACACTCATCACTAGTCTCCAATCTCTCCTCCCTTTAGGAAACCTTTTCTGATGCCCTAGGCTGAGTATTCACCCAGTGTGCTCCAGTAACCTACTGTCCTATATTGCTGCTTCATGCTCTTTGTCTAGCTGCTTGCTTATCCTTTGTAAATGGGCTATAAATTCATTGAGAGCAGTGACCTTGTCTGTCTTGTTCACTACTACCTGGATGGTTATAGCAATATGTGTGGCATATAGTAGATGCTTAATATTTACTGAATTATGAAATATAATTTCAGCAATTCAAATTTAAGATTTCTAATTGTTGCTTTTTCTGCTTTTTGATTTGCAGTGTTGGTAGCTTTATATGAAGAACCAGAGAAACCTAATAGTGCTTTGGAGTATCCTTTTCATCTTTGGAATTAGAAAAAGGCCTTATTTTTTAAATTCTTATTTTTTCACATAGGTAGTAACCTTCAAAATAGTTTTGCTTATTGAAAAGGTTATTTTAATATTGATGGATGGGTGAATTCTGGTCAGGAATATTAATGCTACTCTGGGCTGCTTTGTTAGCTTCATTTATCTCTAAGAACTAAGAACTGAATTCTTAACATTGATTATAGTTTTTTAAAGCATCACTTAGGAGCTGCTACCCCAGAAAATCCAGAAATTGAGGTGCTTCGCCTAGAATTGGCAGAAATGAAAGAGAAATATGAAGCCACTATAGAAGAAAATAAAAAACTGAAAGCAAAGGTAAAATTTTTAAAGGAATTCATTTTAAAAATATTTTCACCTCTACTGATTAATTGATGAAAACCTCACTAAAATGGACAGCTGAGGAAGAAAGAGGGTGAATGTCAATCTGAGTCAAGTGCAAGGCAAAGTTAGACCCTGTCTAAAAAAAAATCATAAATCTGTAAACAGGACAAAGTGTGGTTAAGAAGAGGTTTTTGGGAACCTGCATCAACAAAAAGATGGAAAGATCGGTTAATGCTGCTTGTAAGCAAATGGGTGGTTCCAAAATTCTTAATCAGTTTAGGTCAGTGTGGGGCCATTCCTTTGTACACGGCACCTCCTGCTGCTGTGTAGTGCAAAATCTATACTGTTTTATGTGGTGGCCCTGGGTTAACAGTTAAAGAATTACACTCCGTTTTATCTAGTGCCAAAGTTTTTCTTTATTAAACACCCATGAGAATTATCATAAACTTCAAATTGTCAACTCTTAAGTCTTGGAAGTTGAATCACATAATGCATTTGTTACTGTAGGTATTTTCTCATAATGTGTTTTATCTTCTCAACAACTCTGTGGGAAATGTGAAACAGGTACACAGGCCATCTTCTAGGTGAGGAAACTAAAGCACAGTGAATTTAATAAGTTTTTCAAGTCTGACAGGTAATTGGAAGAACCCAAATCCTAGCCTACTGTTCTTGTAAGGATTCACAACTTAGTCTAAAAGAAATATCCTACATCATCTAAGATTCCACAATGTGCAAGTGCTTGTTAACTCTTTGGCACCTTTTAAGTCAAAGACATTAGTTTTCATTGACTGCCCATATATGGTATACAACATGGTATATAACCCCTTTCCTCTACTTTTTACAGTAAACCTTTGGTAGAGAGAAAGTTCCTTACCATAAGCTACAACATCTTTGGGAAGATAAATATTATTGCCTATCAAGCATTTGAACAATTGAGCCACCACCTGAAATTAGAGTTTCCCAATAATATAAAAGGTTATCTGAAAAGGCTTTCATTAGGTTTGATTGTATTAAATCTTAAATCATTGAATGGTTTAAGCAGCACAGGTACAGAAACTGATTACTGATTCAATAATTAAACTGATTACTGATTCAATAACTTTGAATATAATCTCATTGTTTTATTAAGATTTTACCCAATTTAGAATAAAATTCACCTAAACTCCTCTGTCTTTGCCCCATAGCTTGCTCAGTATGAACCACCTCAGGAGGAGAAGCGTGCTGAATAGGATTCTTCTCAGTTGAAAAGACACTGAAAAATGGTTTTGTATGACTGGAATAGTTTGTATAGTATATAATCCTTTCTGAACAGATGCTATAAAACTTTTAATATGTTAAATTCAACTATCACACTTTAAATGTTATAAACACATATACTTAGAATCACCAATAAAAACTCAATATAACTTTCTTTGGGTCTTAAAGCAGGAGAATCCAAAGTAAACCCTGAAGGAAACCTAAATAGCCATCTAATTCATTAACAGATGTTCTATTTCTTAGTCTGATTAGAAGTAATAGTACTGGCTGTATTTTACCCAAGGAGGTTTAGCATGGAACTGTTCCTTGGTTTAGTTCAGGATATGAGCACAGGTACAATCATGCATTACAAAGAAGATGAGTGTTTATAGTTTCTGTAGGCAACTGGAAAAGTCTGTGTGACACACGATGCTTTTGCACGGGTTCCCATGAATTTTCTGCTTGTTTATATAATGCGGAACAAGTAACTCTTCTTTGCCACCACTTTGCCTTAGATAACTATGTGTGTGCCAGTTTGAACTCTGACACCACTTTTTCTTCTATGCAATCAGGCCCTATATGATAATGTTGCCTTGCTTTGCTATGTACTTTAGTGGGTCCTAGTTGCCCATTAGCCTTTGTGTGTTGTTCATTTTGTTTAATAATGCAGATACTCTGATTGTAATTTATATAACTTTAAACAGGATCACACTGTTACCCTGCCTTACCTAGTTGCTTAGTTAGTACAGACAGAGGTAATATAACGTTCTGGGTTCATGCACAAGTTGGGATGAGAAGGGGATGAGCAGGGGATGAGCATTTATCATGCACAGTTATAGTTCATGGGTATAATCATAGTGCTTTTTTCCCCTCAAAGTAATTTTCTAGCCTTGAATTCATTTTATCTTCATTATCCCTGTGAAGTAGGTGGGGCATATATGAGGGGAGGCTGGGTGCTGAATTTTTAGGCCAAAGACTGATACTAATACAAATTATTTACTAACTGTAGAATTTCGGGCACGTCAGTTAACTGCTCTAAGATCGACTTTCCTCATCTGTTAAACGAGAAGAGCATCTGTGCTGCCTACCTCACAGGGTTGTTGTGAGGGTCAAATGAGAATGTACATGAAAGATTTGTAAATGGTAAAGCACTATATTCTTGTTTTTTAGTCCTTTTTCCTTTCTTTTGGAAGACTGTCAGATATTTTATTGATCACTTATTTCCCTCACTGGTAGTTGACATTTTAAAGAAGTGTTCCTATTTCATGTATTCTGTCCCTAGCGTTAGGGGACCTGTCTTTATTCTGAGCATAAAGGGTTGAGCATACACAAAGCCCTGGGTTCAATCCCCAGCACTGCAAATTTAACCAACTACATCCAGTGAAAGCTGGTGTAACCAGCGAAGGGACTGACACCTGCTGAAAACTGTGACTAAGCCAATTATAAGGGCATTTTAATCAATCATGATTCAGGAATGTGGCAATCATCGGTCTCTTCTAGTCATAAGTTTGTTTTTGTAGGCATGCCAAATAGTACTGGAATATTCACTTGGATAAATTTTATTTCTCTTTTACCAATTTGACTGCCTCCTACATGGATAGTAGTGGGCTAAGTACTGTGTGTGATAAGGATGAATGATTTGAAATAGGTTATGAGATGCGTATAAATAATTACAAGATGGCTTACAATAAGCTAAGAACCACAAGAATAACAAAAGTTGACCCCGTGAAGGTTTTGGAAGAGAGGGAGGGCCTAGCTTCTTTAAGCAGTTGAAATGGCAGTTCCTTTATGGGTACAGCCAAGAGAAAACATTTTTTTTTTCCCCTGGAAGCCAACCCTCATTTGCTTCTTTCTCATTAGACTAGTGTTAATATTTATGTCAGTAAGTCAGTGACTATTGTACTGTCCTTTTGGACAGCAAGGCAACATATACGTTAGCTAATCACACTTTAGGGGGAACTGACCTGCTGCTTTAGCTGCTGTACTAGCTAGTGATATTCATGGTCAGCCTGGCTTCTGGAGGAGCCCTTCAACATTTTTACCAAGGATTTGAGTGAAAACTACACAACAAGATGCTCAATGGATTAGAAAATGGATCTCATCAGTTAAATTTCTACTGCACTTCTGCTGCCTTATGTTTAAAATATAGATTTCACATCTTACCTACCTCACAAGGTTGTTGTAAGGGTCAAATGAAATATAACTGAAGTAAATTAGCCTGGCAAAAATGTGAAGGACTACAAACAGGACAGATAATAGTAATGCCAAATCTCTAAGTGCCACAAAATCAGAACGGCTAGTGGGTAGTCTATATTGGAACAAGTTTTAAAATGATTATCAACTTGGAATACACAAACTGCTGGGCCTAACCAGTTGAAATATCAAGATTTATATTTATGTTAAAAATGCAGTTTATTAAAAGGTTAGGCAGTAGGACTACTGACAGTACTAGTTCCAGTGATTTATCAGTGTGAACCACTTGTGCTCCAAGATACATTAAAAACATCCCATTCTGTAGAGTATTAGAAGAAATATTGTCTAGGTTCTAAATAGTTTATCCTGGAGGTTGGTATTGGTTAGTATTGCTCTGTGGGTGCCAAACATTTGAAAGATTTTGACAAGTCTAAATGCAGTTAATGGAAGAATGACGAGTAAGGAAAGGGGATTTGCAATATTAAGTCTGTATTGTCCCATGTGGAGGCTACTAGCTACATGTGGACATTAAGTAGAAAATTCAATTCCTCAGTCACACTAGCAACATTTCTAGTCTATATTCTTGGCTACCATATTGAAGAGAACAGATACAGAAAATTTCTGTTATGACAAAGTTCTCCTGACCAGCATTATAGAAGAAATAATTGAAGGAAATGAAGATGTTTAGTGTGGAACAGAGAAGACTTTCCTGGTGGATAGTGAAAACTGCAATTTTTAATATTTGAAGGACTTACAAAAAAAGATTAAGATAACTTATTTTGCATTTGTGACTGTTGGCTTGAATAAGAAAGTTTTTAAACAAAACTGCCAGTGGGGTTTTCTGCCTTTTAAGATGGTAAATTTTCCTTTTTTCCTCAACTGTAGTTGACTCTTTCCATGGTTTCAAAGCTGGGGACTCAACCAATTATGGATCAAAGATATTGGGAAAATTGTGTATTGAACATACACAGCCTTTTGCATCTTACTCCCTATATAATAACAGTAGTTATTTATATAGCATCTTATTGTATTAGGTATATAAACAGTGTAGAGATACAGAGTATAGAGCAGGAGGATGCGAGTTTAGTGGGCCATTTCACTTACAGGACTTGAGTATTTTCCAGTCTAGGTTCTGGAATCAGTCCCCCATGAAGACCCAGTGAAGACTATACTTAAATGCATTCTGCGTGTGGTGGCGCACATCTCTAACAAGCCCTTGAGAAGCTGAGGTAGGTGGATTGCCACAAGTTTGAAGCTAGCCTGGAGTACCATAGTGAGTTCAAAGCCAGCTTGAACTACATAGGGAGACCCTGGCTCACCCCCCCACCCCAAGTATTAAGTACATTCTGCAAGTATACCAATCAGATGTAAGGGTTGGAACAGCTGACCTCTAAGGGTGTGTCCTGCCTTTAACTTCTGGTTTCCCGGGCAAAGTCCCAGGCCTACATAGGTGTACTTTCTCTTCATAATCAAGCAGCCTCCTTAAAAGACCAGGACCATTACCATCTTACCTTTTTTTTAAACATAGAAGACTGTTGTAAGACGGTCCTCTTGTCACACTCCCAATTCTAGAGACTGAAGGGTGACAATTCCTTTAGCTTTCTCAAACATACTTGGTAACAAGCATTTGCTTTGGTTTGTTTTCACACTGTTCACTCTTCTAGTCTCTAATCTGAAGGAGATCATAAAATGCAGTGTTTTATGGGAGGATGGAATTACTGGAGGATTAGACTTTGCCTAGGTGGGAAGGAAGGGACATTGAATGCAAGTGCGTTTGAAGTGGCGAAGTATTCACTATCAGAGATTTGCTAAAAGAAGATAAAATGCTCTAGCTTGGCTGCGTTAGCTTTCCTGTCTGGGTCTAGCTACCTGCCAGAACAAGCTGTTACACTGACCATGGCTGCCTTTGCCCTCGGCTGGCTCCTCCACATCTTTGCACGCCCCAGCCTCAGACGCCACCTCCGTACAGATTTTCTCTGCCTACAAATTCCCAAGCATTTCATCTGTGCCCATAGTTTTCCCATATAACATCTCGCACCAAGGCTACTTACGCAGAGGTCGGATCTCTAATCCAAGCAATTTGAGGGCAGGCAGGGTCTTGAGTTGGTTCCAGTTTTGTGCACCTTATTAGGTACCCGGACATCGCATGCAGCAATAAATATTGGTTGGGCGAGCACCACTGTAGGAGCTGGACAATCAGCTCTTTCCTCAGCATCTCTTGCAGTGCTCTCGGGAACAGGAAAGAGACAGGGAACCTTGGGCGAGCGAGGAGCTTGCGGGAAGGAAGGAGGTGCTCGAGAGCTGGGCCATGGCCGGACCGCGGCGAAAGGCGCGGCGGGGCCGCCCTCCTCGTGACTCCTCCCCCGCCCCCCCCGCAGCCTCGGGTCAGGTGATTCCGGGCACGTGATGGGGCACCACCTACCCTGCTGCCTCTGAGTGGCAGCTAGGATGGCCAA